GTGTGAGAAGTGTGAAATCCATTCGTCACACAAGTGTCTTCTTAGCGCTGATGCACAAACAACTAATGTTTCATTTTAAATTAGACTCTCATCTGCACATCGTCTATTTTAGAGAGATTAGCATCCTCATTTCGGTTTAGTATTTAGTCGTCTATGTTTAGCACCGACAATTTTTTACCAAGGGGGGTGACTTCTCTGATCCGTCTGTGTTCTAAAATTTTAACTGAACCTGTTCTTCCATTGGTCCAAACTGGTCATATCCTTACATTAAGGTCTGACTTGCATTTTACCTCCAACTCAGCAAGTCCCAGCCAGCAGCTACATCTGCCGGAAGGGGTACTTGTGGAGTTGCCAGAGGGTAAGATAGTGGAAAAGCTCAACTAATTTGAAATATATCTTTTAAAAAAAATGTGCTATGTAAAGCATCCTGTAGATGGACATTTTTGCTAATAAAGCAGCTTGCTGGAAATCTGTAAAATTATGGTTTACCTTTGACAGACATCTGTCAGCTCTGTCTGGCTAATATGACACGTTACGGTGTGAAGCGGCAGCTGGTGGCAATGATGGTTATTATATTTGTAACATTAGCATTTATGGAAATTCTGCTCGGTCTTAAAAATACACCAGACAGTGGATGGATGTAATTTAACAACTCACATTCCAACACTTTCTCAGCCTAAAGCATCAGTCTGCTTCTCTCACTGTCTCCTAAACAAAAACTCTTAAAGCATTTTCAAACACTGAGCCTGATAAACAGCAGAGTTTAAGCATTTACTCCTGCGGTTTCAATGCAAGACCATCCACAGACTTCATTAAACTCTGACCACATATCTGAAGCTAACAGCCAGTTAGTGAGCGCATTCTGAGGTAACACTCAGGTATCCACACCTGCCTGGGATCTGGAGATAATGAATGAGTGATTTTCTGCTTATTATTTTTGCGATTCCTGCAGTTTTAGGCACAAAAACAACTTTTTATGTTGGTCTCTGAACAAGTCATTTGGCTTGTTTTCTGACACCTGACTGCATGCACATTTTACTGATGACATGATTTGGAAGCAGGTTACACTAAGCTGAAAAGACATTCCTCCCTCCAACCAAGTCAGTTGGAACCACAGATGTATTAAGAGAGCTAGATATGGCACAGCCACTCGGCTTTGCTGCCAATTTTTGCTACGAAAAATTCCCCTGTGGCCCAAAAAACATTTCCCCATAGATCCTGTCTTTAAAATTGTTGACAGGATGCCTCCAACTGTAACCCAGCTCGGTTTTACCCTTTCGTTTATGAATTTTTAATCCATGAAGGTTTTATATTTCTAAAATCTCTCCAACACCGAGAAAAGTAAGTTTCGTTTTTGCAAGGTCATCACAGTGTAAAGTCTAAGAACTGAGCACTGACTGACTTTGAGACAAACATGGCCACGGTGA